CAGAGACATGATGTTAGTATTTCCTAAGCAAATTGGGAACATACAATAGATTACTCCAAGTTTTTCCATCACACTTTATGGTGTTTTCTTTTCTTTTTCTCCTTTATTTTTCAGGTACAAAATATGTTCTTTCTTTGTAAAGACATTTTTATTTTAATTTTATCAAAGCATATTTAATTTTCCTTAATTTATGTAAATTTTGTTTCTTTCTTGTAGTAATGCGTTTTATTATTTCATTAATTTCCTGATCTCATGATGAGTTAACCAAAATTTCAACCCGTTTGCTACAACATGGTGTCCTCCCTGACAGAAGAATTAAGCGTAGGTAAAAAGGGCACATCAGCCCTTGTACTCTTCAATTAGTGGCAAATCAGCCCTTCAACGAAATTCAGTCGCATATGAACCCTCAAACTCCTCGGATGGTGGCATATCACCCCTTTTTAACTGAAACGTTATCTTTCGTCTATGTTTGCTTACATGGCCGTTGTTGGACTTATTTTGAGTCTATCTGGACCTTTTTTTGGCCCCACTTATGCTGATTTGTTAGTAGACCATTTAAAATAATTTTTTTAGCTCTAAACTTATAATCTAAACCTCGTTCTTAATTTCAATCCAAGATTACGAATCTAACATTTTGGCAAGCATCAAATGGTCACAACAGATGAATTAAACTCCTAGAAAAATTAAACTCAGTCAAGGAATTTTCATTGCATGGAAATAAAAATTGTTCAATAGCAATTATTTAACTAATTGAAAAATAGTCAAATCAAAGAAACGCAGGATCAATAACATATTTATCTATCCTAAATAAGATTTTGAAACCTGAATCATAAGATAAATATCAACTAAAACCACTACTACAATGCATGAAACAACTTAAGAGAAAACTACTCCTTGTAAAAAAATACTTATTTTTATTTCTACTATTATGTATTTTTTATGTATTTTTAAAGAATATAAGAAATAGTTTGCAAATATGGCAGTAATTTAGCGACAAATATGATGGAAATGAAACTGTAAGATGATAGCAAAAATGTGCAGCAAGCTAAGTTGTAAATGTTGATGAAATGAAGTTGCAATAAGTAACAAATGAAATGCAAACACAAATGAATGAA